GGTTATGGGGTGCCGGGGGGGGCCCTTTGTGGGTGCCAGGGTTTTGGGGAGCCCTGGGGGGGACCCTTTGTGGGTGTTGGGGTTATGGGAAGCCCCGGGGGGCCCTTTGTGGGTGCCAGGGTTTTGGGGAGCCCCTCTGTGGGTATTGATTGGGGCTGTGGGGGTGCCACCTTTGGGGCGACTGAGGGGTATGGGGAGCCGGGGGGGGTCCCCTTTGTGGGTGTCTTGGTTATGGGGTGCCAGGGGGCCCCTTTGGGGGTGTCGGGGCTATGGGGGTGCCGCCTTTGGGGGGACTGAGGACTGTGGGGTGCTACAGAGGGGACCTTTGAGGGGTGTCTGGGATCCAAGGGATGTCCCTTTAGGGGTGTCTGAGTTATGAGGAAACCCGGGGGGGGCCCTTTATGGGTGTGGGGGCTATGGGGAGTCAGAGGGGGTCCCCATTATGGGTGTCTGGGTTATGGGGAGCCAGGGAGGGACCCCTTTATGGGTGTCAGGGTTATGGGGATCCCAGGAGGGTCCTATCGGATCCAACCCGCCCACTCACCCGGCGCTGGTGGCACTGGGGGCTATAGGGTGCTACAGGGGGACCATTGATGGGTGTCAGGATTATGGGGGAGCCCCTTTAGGGGTGTCAGGGTTATGGGGTACCAGGGGGGGTCCCACCGGTTTAACCCCACTCCCATCCCTCGCAGCCATGCGCTCGCTGGCGTTCCTGTGCGCGCGGCGCGTGGCCGCACACCCGGCGCTGGTGGCACCGAGGGCTATGGGGAGCTATAGAGGGGACCATTTATGGGTGTCAGGGTTATGGGGGAGCCCCTTTATGGGTGCGAGGGTTTTGGGGAGCCCAGGAGGGTCCCATCGGGTCTAACCGCCCCCCTTGTCCCCAGCCATGCGCTCGCTGGCGTTCCTGTGCGCGCGCCGCGTGGCCGCGCACCCGGCGCTGGTGGCACCGAGGGTTATAGGGTGCTACAGAGGGGACCATGGATGGGTGTCAGGGCTATAGGGGAGCCCCTTTATGGGTGTCAGGGTTATGGGGTGCCGGGGGGTCCTGCTGGTCTAACCCACATCCTTCGCAGCCATGCGCTCGCTGGCGTTCCTGTGTGCGCGGCGCGTGGCCGCACACCCGGCGCTGGTGGCACCAAGCGTTATGGGGAGCTGTAGAGGGGACCATGGATGGGTGTCAGGGTTTTGGGGTGCCAGAGGGTGTCCCCTTTATGGGTGTCAGGGTTTTGGGGTGCCAGGGGGTCCTGCTGGTCTAACCCACATCCTTTGCAGCCATGCGCTCACTGGCGTTCCTGTGCGCGCGGCGCGTGGCCGCACACCCGGCGCGCGTGGCACCGAGGGCTATGGGGAGCTATAGAGGGGACCGTGGATGGGTGTCAGGGTTATGGGGGAGCCCCTTTATGGGTGTCAGGGTTATGGGGATCCCAGGAGGGTCCCATAGGGTCTAACCGCCCCTCTCGTCCCCAGCCATGCGCTCGCTGGCGTTCCTGTGCGCGCGCCGCGTGGCCGCACACCCGG